AATTTACAATCGATAGTTACATTTTTTATGCGCTTAATAACTACATTTATCGATGCTTACATTTCTTATGCTAATAAATATCATCGCAGTTATTTTGGGCCTTATATGTAATATTTTTTAAAAATTAGACCCTCATATGTAATTATTTTTAATTTGCGCCCGTATTTGTAATTCTTTTCACTTTCCGGGCCCTTATTCGTAAATTCCCCTAAATAAAAATATATATACTTACAATACCTTTAGAACGAAATATAAAATATGATGTACATACGTACGTATGTATATATGTATGTATGTATGTGCGTAATGTGCATAACTGATCATAGTCGTACAATCGCAACTATCTTCACTTGTTCGGTTCAGATTTTCAAAAAAGAAAATTGGATCAGCACAAAATATCTAAAATAACAATAGTACAGCACATTTGCTGAAAGAAAATTTCTTTCACGTTATTTATGAGTTGGGACTTATATTAGCGGACCTGCTTAAACGAAACAAAATTACCAATAAATATGGCCCTGAATAAAATAATGTTTAACGATATATTCGCAAAATCCAATTATTTAGTTGATTTTATCTCTCAGAATTATTCAGTAAAAGAAAAAAGCAAAAAACTTTTTCCGATAATTTGTGTTCTCCTTCTAATAACCTATTTTCTTCCTTCACTTGTCAATATTCTTTTATTAGTTAGTGCTCTTCTTCCAATAGTTTACATTTTCCCTATATTCTTTTTTGTTATTCTTCTTGTCTGTCTTTACTCTCCTTTTCGTGTTTCATATGTTCTTTTTCCGGCAACCTGCATTCTTTTTCTAATTGTTCGCATTCTGGAAAAAGGACGTGGGAATCAGGAAAAAGAACGTAGGTGCATTAAATGCGCTGAATTTGTTAATATTAATGCTCTTTTATATCTTACCGATCAGTGTAATCATAATAATAATATATGTCGTATGTGTATCAGAGATTATATTGAGAGTGAACTTGACAAAATAATGTTAAAATTTTATGCCCTGAAAATGGATGTATTAAAGTATTAAATGAGAACGATGTAAAAAGAATTACAAGTGAAAGAATATTTAGACGGTATATTTATAAAAACATATACGATAAGTATTTATTGTTATTAAAAAATAATAATTGTTCTATATTACCTTTACAGTTATGAAACTCTAGTGTTAGATTTCGCATTATCTCAAATTTCTACCTTCAAATGGTGCTTAAATCCAACTTGTGGATCAGGACAAGATCATTATCAAGGAGGTAAATTATGTGAATTACTGGTATATGCTACAGTATTATATCCAATTTGTTATTATATTTATTATATTAATTATCATATTTATTATATTTATTATATTAATTATCATATTTATTATATTTATTAATTATTTTATTTAAATACTTTTCGTAAGATGATGCTCCAATAATGATTTGTAATTTATGCGGACAAAAATCTTGTATCATACATGAACTTCTAATTGAAACTGAATGTGAAAAATGTAAAGAACAAATTAGATCCGTATTACAAGAAGAAAGAAAGGAATGTATTATATGTACCGAGAGTGTTAATATCATAGCCTTTTTAAATATTACAGACCAGTGTAGTCATGATCGTAGAATATGTCGTGAATGTGTAGGTGAATATATCAAGCATGAACTTGAAGATAATAGAAAAATTAGAATTTCTTGCCCAGAAGATAATTGTAACGAAATATTAAATCAGAAAGATGTGAAAGAATTTGCAAGTGATGATGTATTTAAACGGTATACTTATTGAAGCATATGCCAATTTAATTTTTATTTTTCATTTCAAATAATAATACCTTTATTTCATTATCACAGATATGAAAAATTTATGCTAAATTTTGCATTATCTCAAATTCCTACCTTTCAATGGTGCCTAAATCCAAATTGCGGATCAGGGCAGGACCATTATCAAGGAGGTAAATTATATTAAGCTTCTAATTCATCTTTCTTGCTGACATCATTACACTTATTCCTATTTTAAATCTATTTTCCTTAAAGAAAATGTTCCTATAATGATTTGTGATTCATGCGGCCAAAAATCTTGTATTGTGCATGGACATCCAATCGACACTGTGTGCGAAGAATGTAGGCAACATGATGAAGAAGAGTATGCACGACAAGAGGAAGAAGAACGTAGACGACAAGAAGAGGAAGAACGTAGACGACAAGAGGAGGAAGAACGTAGACGACAAGAGGAGGAAGAACGTAGACGACAAGCGGAAGAACTCAGGCGAAGAGAGGAAGAAGAACGCAGAGGACGAGAAGAAGAGCGTAGGTTAGCAACACTTCGAAATGCCGAGACTGCTTCCGAATCCTACGTGGGTCAACTTAAGAAATGCCCAAAATGTGCGAGTAGAATTGAAAAAAATGACGGATGTGACCACATGACATGCAGATGTGGTCATCAATTTTGCTGGGTGTGAGTAGGATATTTTGATCTTTTTTGCGTATTGTATCTTACAGTATATCGATTCTAAACAATGAAATTTAATTTTTTATCAGTTGCATGGTTGATTGGGATACGCCACATAATGTCGACTGCGCATTTTATGTAGGAACTTAACTCTTAAGATTTTTCAATAGTGAAATTAGAACAATGGTAGATTATTGTATTATATCTTTTGTTACTAATATTAGCGAGTTATCGCAGTATTAATATTTTTAACATTAAAAACAATGTAATTAATAAATATATAACATTTATTCAAGTTATTATTTAATTATTGCTTTATGACAATTTTACATAGCAGTAATTGTCTTTTATTTTACTTTTATTTTTAATTGACCAGCTAGTATGTAAGTTTAGCCTAACAAACGCTCCATCAATACCAGGTTCTCCGGTAGGAGACGTTTAGTTTTGGAGAATGGCGTAACAAGTATTTAGGCTAATCTAAACTACTTTAAAACCAGTAACGATTAATTAGCATAATAACGTCAACAACCTTCATTACTTCGGGTTGCTAAATAATATGTTTCAATAATTTCGGGTTATATCTATACAATTTAATAGTAATGTTCTACTATCATTTATACAATGGCAAAATCCAGAAATAAAAATCTATATTGTCCACAGAATGCTTATAATTCTATATCTTCTATGTATTAAAGCACAAATGTCCAAATGTCAGTTGCATTTGCCAATCAATTAATTTTTGTTTGTCGTTCATTATAACACCTGACCATAAACTAAGATCTATCTCTTAATTCATCTTAACTTATTCTTCGAGTATAAAATTCTTTGTTAATAAGTATATTTAATATTTAATAATTATAGAATTAGCTATCACACTATAGTATATCTTTTATTTAGTTCATTTCGTTCATTCATAATAATTATTTTGTAAATATAAAGATCTTTGATCAATTAGTACTTCTAAATAAGGTGTTTGAATTCATTTTATTCGCACTAACTTCATCAGTGAACATAAAGATATTTCCTTAATTAACATATCTAAATATGCTACTCAAATTCATAGCATTTTTCTTATTTATTTTATTTCGTTCACGTTAAAATTCATCTAAATACAGTAAGCTATTCAAGTTCATAACATTTACACCATATCTTGGTTTCGTTTTATTTACATCAATTCAATTGAAAAGCATAAAGATCTTTTTATTTAAAATATCAACTCGGATGGTGAAACCGTCCAGTAAGCATGCGCTAGTTACATTCACTAAATTGATGCGATTAAAGAAAAAAAAAATGGCAGTACTAAAGGTTTAAAGCTTCTGAGATATAATGTCAAAAAATCCTTTATTAAAACGCATATACTTGAATTTTGAAATTTGATTTTGTAATTTACAACGATTTAATTGAATTTCACTATCGCTATTTCTACTAAAATATTCCATTACTCGTATTTATTTGAGGAGTCTCTTCTATGTATAAAAACTTTGTTTACAAAAATCATCACTTCGTTTTTTTTCAACATCTTGTCTTTTGAATTTCAAAATGAGATCAAAAGATAATTTATATAATAAAAATTAGAAACATTCTTGCACTATCTCGATTTGCCTAAAAATAAGCAGCACATATTCCAATTTGTAATTTTTTCTCACAAACATATATATATATGTACTAAACCAACATACTTCGAAAAACAATCGTTAAAATCAATTAATAAAATTTACGATTTTTTCGATTATGTAATAAATATATCGATTAGTTTAGTAAAATGTAGGTACTGTGCGTTGAAAAAAAATGAAATGGCTTCCAGGTAAAATGCGTATTGAACCAAAAGTCGCTCAAGCTATATTAATACAAATACCTAACTCAAATACAACAACAACCACAAAAACTAATCAGTCCTACTACAAAAATCTAAAACTTCTAAAATTAACAAATTGCAACAATATCACTCTAACAAATCTACTACAAAATTTATAATTTCTAATATTAAAAAAAGCTTCTTGGGCTTCTAACAAAGTTGTAGAGCTCATCAAGACGCGTCTAATGGTGGTGAGAATGCTAAAATCGGCCTGGTAGTTCTTGAGAAATCTTTAAAAACATTTTGCCAACATATAAAATTTCTTTAAAAA